TTGCTAGGGCAAGTGAGTGCCCTGCTCTGTGATGCTCCTGCTAACAGCAGAGAGCAACCCAGAGGTGTCCACTTATCCCGGCGGATACTAGGTCCCCATAGCTGCGTTGGCCACACCGCAGTGTGTTTACCGTCCTCTACCGTATTGGGTTATACCTATATTTTATTGACCAATCAGCACTTAGTGGGTGATTTGGTCAGCACCACGCCGGCCGCCTGTGCTTCTCATGACTACACCAGGTAGCCCTTCAAGGCTGGGTCGACCTGGGAGCCTGATGATGATGACAATTAAAGACATCGTCGCCTACGCCAAACCATCAAGCCACCATCCACCCTCCACACACAGAAGAGGTCGCCTAGCGTCCTGTGTAAACACAACGGTTGCAGACGACAAGCGGCCGACATCGTCCCCCTCGACTTTTATTTCTACAAATTTTTTACCTTTCCCATAGCCAAGACATGCGATAGAAGCAACAGGGATAAGTAGACCTTCTGTAAGTAAAAAAAAATTTAAGCCATTAATGATAAAATGACGTTTTTATTTTGAATCAACTGCGAAAGAGCCATGCAATATGTTACACTTGGTTTCTTGAAAGGCAGCTCTCTTGCATAAAGCGGTTAGCGACCAAATCAAATTATGGACGCCTTCGGAATTATAATACAGTTAATTAACATAAATCACGGCGTTGCTTGCAATGTGCGCATTTAATGGCGTCAAATATTATTTAAAGACGGTGACTTGTATTTTATAGTTGTATTCGAAAAGTTTTATATTTCAAATGTTTTACTTTTCTGGACAAGTTAGTTGATTTCACGACCTGCAAGCCAGAACACGACTGTGGTATATTTGCTTGAGTTCGTCTGTTCAAATTTACACTCATTGTGGAATAATAGGAGAGTGTACGATGTCACGTCACTCTACATTCTAATCACATCCCAGTTACGGGTTTAGGGAGTGAGCAAGTGTAACAGGACATTCCATTCTTAAGTTTCTAAAGTTAACGATTAAAGTATAATTAATTTATAATATACTTTTGTCGTTTGATGCGTGATGAACCTAAAGGCAGCTTCTGCTTGTAATAATTTTACAGATATTTGTTTTAACACTTTCAGACGCACGCAGCTGTTAATTTAACTCTCTTTGCTCCAAGGTTTAAAATACAAATGCTGCTGCTATTGCTAATTCTGTTGCTACTACTGTTGTTAATGTTACTGCTGCTGCTGTTACTACTACTACTGATGCTGCTGTTGCTACCACTACTGCTGCTGTTGCTACTACTAATGCTGCTACTGCTGTCGATACTGCAGTTGTACTGCTATTACTACAACTGTGTTGCTGATACTGCTGCTGTTGTTACTACCGCTGCTGCTTTTGCTTCTGCGATAGATACTGCTGCTGTAGCTACTGTTCTGTTACTGCTGTTGCTACTAAACAGCTGGTGGCTACACTACTGCCGGCAGAGACTGCTCAGCAAGGTGGAGACATCTCAATATTTCCTTCTTCTTTTTCTTCTTGTGTTTGCTTTCTGATTTACACCGACAGACACGTTGTGATAAACTTGACTGTTTTTATGAGTTCCATTTTAGTTCCATAAAACTTGTGCTGTGGGGACTCACTGGGGCCAGTATTCCCTTCTTAATGGGCTGTAGAGGGGACATTTTTGTAGGACATGTTCTGTAGTCTGCACACACAGTCTACATGGGCAGAGTGGTGAACTACTGAGACCAAGCCTGTGCGTATGATTGTTAAGTTTATTATGTCCTGCCCTGAGGTGTAGAATAATGACCTGCCCATGCCGGTCAAGTAAGTGGCAGTCATCTCTGGCCAGACTCTGTTCACTTCTGATAGACTAGACGGCCCTTTTCTTCTCATAGTATGTTACTGCATTCTCTTCCTGGTCACATTCTGCCCCTTTCTTAGCAAGTTTATCTGCGGTTTTGTTTCTTGGTATACCATAAGCAGATGGCACTCTCTGGAGTACAGTACATTTATGGGCAGCCACCCTGCCAAGTTTACATCCCAGGTGAGTTTGTTTGCCACTCTTGAGGGCTTGAAGCACCGATAGCACATCTGTGAAGATGACCACTTGGCTGCAGTAAGAACTGGTGTTGTGTAACATTTCGGCAGTCTGCTCTAGTGCTACAAACTCTGCTGTTATACTTTGTGTGGCAGTGGTTGTTTCAGTATGTGATACGTACGCCAGCACCCCCATTTTCAACCACACTGGTTGCTGATCCATCTGTGTAAGCATGTATCCATGACTTTTCGGGATAGTTTTCATGAATCATGTGAAGAGCAGCTGTTCGTTTTTGTAGATCATTGGACTCATTTCCAACTGAGAGTCCATTGACTGAAGTCATTATCTTATGGTGTCGTTGACTTGCTCCCTAGGTACATGGTATAGGGTAGCTTTCAGCTGTGTTTTTCTGATGGGTAGATTTTCTTGATACTGTCTTCTAAATGGACAAAGCTTGAACCCCAGTGCCAGATCATCCTGTCTTGTGTTCATTGGGTATGACCGCATACTGTTTAACTTCTCTATCTGGATTAGTATAGTTTTCATGGATCCTGTGAATGTTGAATTAGGAACTGACATCACAGCACTCGGGACACTCCCATAAGTGCTCCATCCCCATCTTCAGTAGCAAAGCAAAGAGTTCTAATTCTGTTGGCACCAGTAGCCGTCTGATTGTAGATCTGTATCATCCTTCCCCTGAGTGTTGAGCATTGGCCCCATACCCTGATAACTCCTCGCAGCGCCATTATCTCAGATAGTAATGATCTATCTGCGCATCCACGCTGTTTACTCAAAGAGCCCTTACAATATCTAGCTTGTCATACATCAGTTCACCACCAAGTGGTGCAGAACCAGCCGGTATATCTGCCTGCTCATTTCCTAACACACCGGCATGACCTGGAGAAAATATATGGATCCAGTAATAAGTCTAAGAGCTTGATTTTGCACTATCTAACAATTGCAGATGGTAATTATCAGCTGTTGACCATGCTGTTGCACCAAACTCTAAGTGGGATCTTATCAGTCCATTATAAACTTTCTTTAGTGTTTTGACATTCGCTCCCCAACTTGTACCTGCCAGTTTTCTAAGTAGCCCTAGCCATCTCCTGGCCTTCCCTTCTATATTTTCTCTATGTTTGCTTCACGTGAGCCTTTTACCAAATGTCACTCCAAGACAAGTGCGGAAGCTTTCTTCCTTTAGCAAGGATGCTCCTATGTAAATACTAGTAGCTTTGTCCCTGGAGGAAAAGAGAGAAGAGCATTGTGGATTTTTTGACTGTGTTGATCGCATCATGTCACTTTTCTGATCTTGTCATTAGAAAGTCTACTGCTCTTAGATTTGGCACTGTGTTCATCAGTATACCAGAGTACTAAATCATCTGCATACACGGCAGTGGTCTAGAGGTTCTGTGTTCATCAGTATACCAGAGTACTAAATCATCTGCATACACGGCAGTGGTCTAGAGGTTCTGTGTTCATCAGTATACCAGAGTACTAAATCATCTGCATACACGGCAGTGGTCTAGAGGTTCTGTGTTCATCAGGATACCAGAGTGCTAAATCATCTGCATACACGGCAGTGGTCTAGAGGTTCTGTGTTCATCAGTATACCAGAGTACTAAATCATCTGCATACACGGCAGTGGTCTAGAGGTTCTGTGTTCATCAGTATACCAGAGTACTAAATCATCTGCATACACGGCAGTGGTCTAGAGGTTCTGTGTTCATCAGTATACCAGAGTGCTAAATCATCTGCATACACGGCAGTGGTCTAGAGGTTCTGTGTTCATCAGTATACCAGAGTGCTAAATCATCTGCATACAAGGCAGTGGTCTAGAGGTTCGATGCCATGGATATTGGTAAAAACTGACCAAGACACCATATTTCTTCTGCTTCTTCTTTTTTTCTTAGGGTAGTTTTAAAGTCTTTTATCTTTTTCTGATTTCTTTGGGTGGTTTTAAAGTCTTTTATCTTTTTCTGATTTCTTAGGGTGGTTTTAAAGTCTTTTATCTTTTTCTGATTTCTTAGGGTGGTTTTAAAGTCTTTTATCTTTTTCTGATTTCTTAGGGTAGTTTTAAAGACTTTTATCTTCTTCTGATTTCTTAGGGTGGTTTTAAAGTTTTTTTTATCTTTTTCTGATTTCTTAGTGTGGTTTTAAAGACTTTTATCTTCTTTTGATTTCTTAGGGTAGTTTTAAAGACCTTTATCTTCTTCAAATTTCTTAGGGTAGTTTTAAAGACTTTTATCTTTTTCTGATTTCTTAGGGTAGTTTTAAAGACTTTTATCTTTTTCTGATTTCTTAGGGTAGTTTTAAAGACTTTTATCTTCTTCTAATTTCTTAGGGTAGTTTTAAAGACTTTTATCTTCTTCTAATTTCTTAGGGTAGTTTTAAAGACTTTTATCTTCTTCTGATTTCTTAGGGTAGTTTTAAAGACTTTTATCTTCTTCTGATTTCTTAGGGTAGTTTTAAAGACTTTTATCTTTTTCTGATTTCTTAGGGTAGTTTTAAAGACTTTTATCTTTTTCTGATTTCTTAGGGTAGTTTTAAAGACTTATAGACTTGGTGGTGAACTGATATATGACAAGCTGGATGTTGTGAGTGCCCTTTGGGAGCGAGTGAACAGTGCCGAAGAACAGATAGATCATTACGGTCTGAGAAGAATTGCACTGCGAGGAGTTACAAGTGGATCTGGCCGACGCTCGACACTCAGGGGAAAGGGGAGACAGATATACAATGAGACAGTTACTGGTACCATCAGAATTTTAACTTTTGGCTTGCTGCTTAAGATTGGGGACGGAGCGCTTATGGGAGTGTTCCGAGTGCTGTGATGTCGATTTCTAATTCAAAATTCAAAGACTTATAAAGATGCATTTTTAAATTTAAAAATGAAAATGTTTTAAACATGTTTTTTTTTTATAACGTGATATTTCTGGTTAACTTCATTTTATATTTCTTTCCCAGTGGTTAATCCTCAGTTGAACACATGAAAATGGTTTGCCTGAATGTACACTTTTTGATGGCTGTGATGTTCACAGTCATCCTTGCCACGCTAAACAACATGGTTCTGGGCGAGAATATCTCGATAGATCCTAATGACATACACGGAGGAGTTACCATGGGTGTCTCCAATGCTGTCTGTGATAATGGAAAGGTGGGTATAACATGGCTGACAGGTCGGTGTTGATTGTTCTGTTCAGTTTCCTGTTTAAATCCCGGTAAGCTCTGTTCAACGGCAAGGTTATATTAGGGCTCCCGACCATTATGAAGTAATCTGAACTGCTGACCCAACAGGGAATTAACTTACTGTGAGTATAGATGGATCAAACAATTGGCAACACTTACAAAAACCACAAGATCTTTAGATATCAGACTCTTTACATTCCTTTTGGCTTCTTAAAGCACAACCCAGGCCGAATGGGAGCTGCATTAGCGCAGTCAATAGGAGACTAGCATTTAAATCCAGCTGCCACTCGCTTTCAAATCCAGCTGCGATTCGCTGCAACCCACTGCCGGTGTTCTAAACCAGGCGGGTCCCAGGGTTCACCCAGCCTCTAGGTAATGGGTACCAGAGTTAACACTCTGAGGTAGATGGAAGAATGTCTGTAGCTACAGAGTTGTGTGTAAACGGCGACACAGGCAGAGAGTTTCTCATCAGCTATTCGTACTGGTGGCAGAGCACTTATGGTTTATAACTGTGTGTAGTGACGCTGGTTCACATCTCCCCCCCCCCCCCCCAAAAAAAAAGAGGCTGAATATACAGAAGTGGGGTCCCCTGTGTGGGTTCCGGGGCCCCATTGTGGGGAAAACAAGAATAGACCCACTGCCTCCCCAAAAGCATGTCGTAAGAGTCGACTAATTGGGGAGCTTCCTTTGAAGTCGGAGTGCATCTGCCGGAGAGGCAAGGAACCAACAGTCTGTATTCAAGAGAATGAGATCTGTAAAACTGATGCACACGCAACACTCAGGTTCTGGAGCGGGACTGCAGTTCAGTAGTGGACGATCAACCAGAACTTTCCGCCAGAGTGTACAGCTGGTGAACGCGAAGAAGAAGAAGAAGAAGTGAGGTGAAACAGTCCTTAGCAGGATGGGACAATTTCTTGGGTGAGCCCAGTACCAGAACAGCTTAAATTGGCTCTGCATTTATGAAAGCCTTCTTGGACTCTGATCTTCTGCCCCTGCCTTCTCCTGAGGTCTGACCAGCATTACTTGACAATAGTGGTCCTGAAATTTGATGCTATAATTATGGAAGACTTTTCTTAACGTGGTGGGGTCTTGCTAGTCACATACGCCATCACCATTGGCTGTGAGTCCCATGCCTCCTCAAATCACAGTATAACAGTTTCATCTGGAAAGATGGAAAGGGGTCAATAGTTGTTGTTGATGTTATTGTTGTTGCTTCTTTTTGTTGCTGTTGTTGTTGTTGGCAACTTTCCAACTTTCCAGAGGATAGTGTTCTTTATATCAGATGGGAAGCGATGAAGAGGCCTACCATGCAAGTCATGGACAGAGGAAATAACAAGAGTCCCTGGGAATCCCCATTTACAGAGCGCACAAACGGGCACTTTCCCGTGAACTATACTTCACCTCGACACTGTAGGGTACCAGAGGATCGAGATGAGATGAGTGCTATTTTATTCTCTAGGGAGGTGTGGTCCAACGGACCAAAAGGCAGTTTTCAGCATGCTCTAGCAGAGCTTTGCAAGCCCAGGCACTCAAAAAGCCTTGGTGATCCACTGCACCGAGGGCTATCTCCATTCATTTTGACGATCTTGCCATCGGATCAAGATGGATATAGACTAAGAGAATGAGGGGGACACATTGCACAACTCTTACTCACTTAAATCCAACTTATTGCACAAGTCACTTTCATCCAACTATAGTTAGTTAGTAAATCGAAAGATTATCCTCATCGGACAAGTCCACACGCACTCGGATCCCATCTTCAGTGTGTCACCCTCAGCCTGTGGTGACTGATAACACCAGTTCTGTGTTGGTTTACTATTTTTATTTGGCTACCTGTATAGTGTTTATATTTTGGTGACACCTCTTTTTACCTTAAGTTCTTGGGGTTTTTGTAAGTGTTGCCAATTGTTTTATCCATCTATACTCACAGTAAGTTAATTCCATGTTGGGTCAGCAGTTCAGGTTACTTCATATTGGTCGGGAGCCCTAATATAACCTTGCCATTGAACAGAGGTTACCAGGATTTGTATATGTAGGACTCTGATCCTGGAGGGGACAAAAGGCATGCATGCCTGCATACTCCAATGACAACTGCTCACAGAAGCCAGCTTCAGGCCTCGGAAATGAGATACCCGAAAAACGTCTAAGTGACAAGAAGGGACAAAGTTTGCAACCAGACAATACATCAAGATCTTGAAACCCAGTCCTTACAAACTCGAGTGGATCAGTCAGAGTTACGATGGTTTGGTCATGTATGCAGAATAGGAGAAAATCTGCCACAGTGGCAGGCATGGGAGGCTAAGAAACAGGGAACCAGACCTCCGGGGGCGACCCAGGGTCCGCTGGAAAGACAACATCCGACATTCCCTAACTGACAGAGGACTGGAATGGAACAAAGCCAGAAAGAATACTGTAAATAGAGACGCCTGGCGATCTCTCCGGCAAACCTCTACACCCCAAGGTAGAGGAAGAGCGGAGCAAATAAGTAAAAAGTAAAGTAAAAAAAGCATGCATACTCACAGTCTTTGATCTTCACTACCTTTTGGATGTTGAGTGATCTTCATCACTTGTGATTAATGAAGAACATAAGGATGCATTGGAAACCACAGCCAGTGGCAATGGTGAGTATGACCAGCAAGATCTGCTGGCGTTAAGAAAACATCTTCCACAATTAGAGCCTGGAATTTAAGGACTGTTGTTGCCATCATTTGTATTTCAACATGTTTCTTCTCAGACACTTCTCCTTTATCCTTATTTCGTTCTTGATTTGCCCCCCTTTCGAACAGCACAGTCCACGATATTTTGTTCCCATGAATCTATCTCAATATCTCGATCATTCATGTCCCACTTGGTGTAATGTTAATTTTACTCATTTCATTATCATCATCATGTTTTGCCATTATATGTCCTGTAGATTTCCCCCTCCCTAATAAGCATGTTGTAAAAGTCAGGGGTGGTTCCTTCTAAATGGAGTGCATCTGCTTAAGAATCATGAAACCAGATGTCTGCATGCAAATAAGCTACATCTGTAATCTGGCAATCTTAGTTTCAGCTTCATAGCAAACGGGTCACCCCATAGTTGCTCCGCTCCTGTGCCAACGAGAAACACATAAAATGTTTATCACAGTTCAAATGAAATTCGCAGCTCACAGTGTCACGCCATGCACTCAACTTAGAAGCTGGGCAACGAAACTATATCCTTCCTGTCTACAAATGGAGCAAAACTGCAAGGGCCACCGTTTGGCGGAAGCAAAAAAATTTGCCGTGGCAAAAAAAAAGTGGCAGTGCCTAGTGTCCATTTTGACCTGAAGCATTATGTGAGGGTTAATAAACAGTCACCCCAGCAGTACCCTACTATTAGCTGGGGAAGGGACTTAGGACATTACATCCACCACCAAGTCTCGCCCCTACAACGACCTGACTGCCTTTGTTAACGACTGTTCACTAAACAGCCATGCAGTTCTTTGGCATGATGAGACACCTTGAACTTGGGTTTCGAACTGGCGACTCCCTACAAGATGTTATGCTATGTTATCACAATCGACGTCACTGCACATTAGGCATTCCTATGCGTGCTCAGTCCTCCGATGCAGCAGCCACTCCAAAGTACTTCTACTAATTGTTCCCATGAGAAGATGGTTATATTGTTTCCTATCTTGGCCTCGAAGACGGCAAAGACGTGCTTCACCCCCGTGTCATGCAATCGTGTAAGTGTCAGGGATTCCTCATTATCCACTAGCCCAGTCCGTAGAGCGTTGACGATATCTGCTCTGTCCATGCTTTTCTCCCCAGTCCTTAGTGCAGTGCTTGCCAGTTGGTCGGCTCGCTCATTTCCCTTTACTCCCGCATGACCCGGTGTGTAGATCCTGGTTACGGAGGTTAGGTGCGATTTTTGAATGCTACATCTGTAAAATGTATGTGCATGCAAAGCTTTATATCTGGGATAAAACTAAAGTCCAGAAGTGGATGAACAGCCGGAACTTTTTGCCCAGAGTTTACCACTGGTGAATTAGAATAAGAAGAAGATGTAAGGTTCACAGTCTAGTCCTTGATTCTGTTCTATTTTGTGCAGTTCTTTCAATATCATGGATATAATCCAGCCTATCACCTTTGACCAAATATTACTCAATTACGTATGATTATGTAATGCACACACTTGCATAAGTGACACTGAACAAGAAAGCTGCACACATGCAAAACAAACTAAACGCACACACACACATAAGAGAGAGAACAGTTGGCAACATATGTGGATAAGACAGTGTCGTAAACTTATGGCAACATCTGGTAAATCCACACCTTTTACGTTCAGTAATGTCTGTGTCTTACTGGGGCCTATACGGGTAAGACTGTAACTGATCATGCATGACATAGGAGGTGACAGGAGTGGTTTTAGATTACTGGTAAACATGGCATAGATTTCTCATGGAATGGTGAGGAAGTTTACACAGATGTGGTCACATTTCATTGCGCTGGCTGGCCAGATCTCGGCAGTCTTGTAAGACATTTTCTATTGTTTGGATGCACCACTACCACGTTCAGCAGATTAAGTAAGACCTATTTGATGTGGGTTTGGCATGGTGTCCTATCCAACACCAGCACCTTCTTCTCACCTCCTAATTCACTGGAAATTATTTAGCTCCCTCTCAAAGCTCCGCATTATTGATTCTATCATACAATTTAATTTCCTTCAATCTGTTATTCTGGGCAGACACCAGTTAATGAAAGTTTGTAGTTTATCAATAACTAGATTTAATTTATCGGAATAATGAAAGAAACTCTTTTTCTCCCATCCTGTACCTCATCTTGTATAACCCAACATATGCATTGAACTGGGTTTCTAGGACCTGTTAACGGGTGTAAATTGCTCGATGTGATGACCTAATGGGGTTGAACGTCAGTCAGTCCAAATAAACATCAATGCATTGTGTCTGTTTACAGCATCGCTGTGGTTTCGCACTTTTCAGCTGTTTGCTTCCTACTTCTTTGGGCGTTTGTTTTCCGGATTAGCCTTCCTGGTTCGCTTCACCGGACCTATCACAGCCTCTCTTGCGTGGTGACTTTATCAGTCTCTGATCCACAGGGGTTGCCCCTAGTGGACACATCCAGGGCTGAAACACCTGCAGACTGGTCAGCTATCGGGGGAAGGCACAAGCATCCCCAGTCATCCAAGGAGGCTTCAGTAAATGCGGCCCATATATGGGGAGTGTAGGAGAGCTGACAATAGGACGGAAGGTGGTGCTTTATTAATATCCTACCCCAAACAAGGGAAATCCACAGGTCACAGGACAGTTTAATATTTCAGGAGGTGATAGATAGGCTGCATGTGGTCATGGGACCTAGGCTGCACTTTCTTGTGGAATGTAGGTGGGTTGGAGTTAGGGCCAGTTCTAGATGTTTTGGGGTTGGTAAAAGCATCAGAAAGCTGGAAAACAACCCCCTCTAAAATGCTGGACTGTCCTGTGACATCATCTGGGGTAGGATATTAATAAAGCACCCGGAAAGCATTCCTATGCAAGAGATAGTGGACAGAAAGTAGCTCGTAATGTTGTCTTAAACAAAGACTAGCTTTAACAGGTTGAGCAACAGGATAATTAGACTGTCCTTTCAAGGCTTACCATCTCACTGTTTTTTTAGTCTGACCTTCCTGTCCTGTGTCCCAGGAGTGAGGTGTCAAGTCATATTATTTATGGGACCAACACTTTGGACTTAATCTTTGTTTTCGACATTGTACAAGCCATTTTCTGGTTGTCTACCATCTCCTGCATAGGAACTCCATCGATTCCATTGTGAGCTCTCCTATGCTCGTGACACATGGTGCTCTGGTACTGGGCTGACCTAAGAAGTCTTCACATCAGTTCGTAATTTTTCAAAAATGTTGTCCATGTTTTTTAGCTCCCTACAATAGGGTAAGTTGAAAAAAAAAGTGAAAGACCCTTTTCATGCCTTCAGAACTATTTTATAGACCAACTGGCACTTGGTGTGGGTGATGTGGTCAGCATCACACCAGCCGCCTTGACTTCCCAGGACTGCACCTGACACCCACTCAAGGCTGGGCCGACCTGGAAACTAAGGTCATTTTCTAGGAAAGTCCTGCTCCGTCAGGACCCAAGTCCACAACCTTCCAATCGGTAGGCGGGCATCTAGCCGCAACACCATGGCTGCTCCCACAACACTAGGGACTTATCGTCAAAGCTAAATATTCCCCCATTTAGTCGTAGTTTTAATTACCTTTGTCTTCCACATATTTCCTAGTGCTGTGAAATCACCCCTTGCCTTTTTGTGTTTATATTTTTGAAAAATCTCTGCATGTGTCCTCGTGCCACTTACTAATCTGTTCTATGCACTCTGTCCAGGCCAATATTCAGATTGACTGGGACCCAAACTCTTCTGATGAGTACACATGTTACGAGGGCAGCAGTGAAAATGTAAGTCATCTTTGTTTATGTGTGGGCCAAGGTTAACTAATCCGGCACCCATAACCCCCCACGCAGTACCTATCTGTTCATCCAGTACCCATCCATTCATCTAGTACCCATTTGTTCATCCAGTGCCTATTTGCTCATCCAGTATCCATCTGCTCATCCAGTACCTGCCCACTCATCCAGTACCCATCCATTCATCCACTTCCCATCCACGCATCCTGTACTAATATGCTCATCCAGTACTCATCCTCTGATCTAGTACCCATCTGTTAATCCAGTGCTCATCCGCTCATCTAGTGCCTGTCTGCTCACCCAATATCCATCTGCTCATCCAGTGCCCATCTACTCATTCTGTACTCATCACTGCATCCAGTACCCATTCACTCATCCAGTACCCGTCTGCTCATCCAGTACCCGTCCACTCATCCAGTACCTGTCCAATCACCCAGTACCTGTCCACTTATCCAGTACCTGTCCACTCATCCAGTACCTGTCCAATCACCCAGTACTTGTCCACTCATCCAGTACCTGTCCACTCATCCAGTACCTGTCCACTCATCCAGTACCTTTCCACTCATCCAGTACATGTCCACTCATCCAGTACCTGTCTACTCATCCAGTACCTATCCACTCATCCAGTACCTATCCACTCATCCATTACTGATCTGCTCATCCAGTAACTATTCACTCATCCAGTACCTATCCACTCATCCAGTACTAATCCCCCAATTCAGTACCTATCCACCACTGTCATCCAATACTAGTCCACTTATCCAGTTCTTCCAGATCTTGAGTTTTGCATACACATCCATTCTACAGATTTCGCTTATTTATATACAGACTGTTGGTTCCTGTATAGTCTATACAAAAAAAAAAAAAAAGAACTAAAAGGGCAGAATGTCAAAGAGGCCCAAGTGCTGAATTCTTAAAATGTTGAAAATAAAAGTTTGTTAATTCTCCGTCTGTTTCCGTAGCTCTGTCTGTCTGTCTGTCTGTCTGTCTGTCTGTCTGTCTGTCTGTCTGTCTGTCTGTCTCTCTCTCTCTCTCTCTCTCTCTCTCTCTCTCTCTCTCTCTCTCTCTCTCTCTCTCTCTCTCTCTCTCTATTTTCTTGATATTCACAATATTATTTGAATATAACATGCTCTTTTAATTTAAAAAAAAAAACAATTGCTATGTGAAAGGTGGGTGTTTGGAAGGGCCGGATGTGTGAAGGACCTGCGTGCCCAGTTTGTGACCCTTTGAAAATAAAGTTTGTTCATTAATTTCTTACTCTCTCTCTCTCTCTCTCTCTCTCTCTCTCTCTCTCTCTCTCTCTCTCTCTCTCTCTCTCTCTCTCTCTCTCTCTCTCTCTCTCTCTCTCTCTTTCTCTCTCTCTCTACTCCCCTTCCTCCCTGGAACAGACACAGAACTTACCTACATAACAGTCTTCAACAAAACATATTGCTTCTCCCTCTGCTGTTGTACCATTATATGTCACATAGGGTTAGCAGTCTGTTTCTCCATTCCTTTCTGTCCTATGCAAACACTTCTATATTATGGATGGAATCCAGTCCAGCACTTTTGGTCTCTCTTATCACTGTTCGCCTTAGGCTTTCTTTATGATATCCTCATCTCCTCAGTCACTCCATTTCCAACTTCAGCACTTTTGGTCTCTCTTATCACTGTTCGCCTTATGGTTTCTCTAGGATATCCTCATCTCCTCAGTCACCCCATTTCCAACTTCAGCACTTTTGGTCTCTCTTATCACTGTTCGCCTTATGGTTTCTCTAGGATATCCTCATCTCCTCAGTCACTCCATTTCCAACTTCAGCACTTTTGGCCTCTCTTATCACTGTTCACCTTAGGGTTTCTCTAGGGTGTTCTCATTTCCTCAGTCCCTACCGGTCACAATCTGGTTATATGTCCGTCTTGCTTTTCTTTCCTATGAATGTAGTGAGCCGGCTAGACCCTCTGGTTACACCAAAGTGCCTCATTCTCTCCGGGCCATAATAATCTTTTCTCTACTGATTCCGTTTGCTTATTCTCAAAGAGCCTTGACCACATCTGCCTTGTCATGTATCAGTTCACCACTCAGTGGTGCAATTTCAGCCAATCTTTCTGCCTGTTCATTACCCACCATGCCGGCGTAGCGCGACGAAAAGATGCAAAGTATGCTCACTACCAGTGACCTTCCCAGTGAAGCTTGCCCTTTTCCCTCAGGCATTTGTTTTCAGATGCATTTAACTTTTTGCTGCTTATGTTTATATAAAAATTACCTTTAACTTTTTTGTTCTGACTGAATATTTAAACTGTTCTCGTAAACGTTTCAGTACAAAGTCAGGCTGCACTCCTCCCACTGTGATAAAACTGCACAGCAAGTAAGTACCGAGTTTTATATTACCAGGGGTTTGAGTCTAATATTTCATGTTGTGAAGTTGTTACATTATATACCCCATTCTCTGAAGACTGTGGATTTGATTTCAAATCCCATCTTTTGTTTCGATAGTGCATTAGTTTTGGAGATCCCTAGGGGCTCATTGCTGAAGCTAAGAAGTTCACTCTTTGTACAATGCTTTCCATGGCGACCAGCCACTCTACAGAAAAAGACAGAGCCCTGTGGGATGAAACCTGACGTATTAAAGTGGATCCTCTCACACTTAAACTACAGATTAAACAGTAGTTCTCAGCATGAATCTAAAGGTGAGGGAAAGATGCTGGTATTGGATCTGACACATTGAGACACACCATATCAGCTGTCCTTGAAGAATATTAACACATGGGGGGGGGGGATGAATATAACTAAACAAATCCAATGTGAATCCAGAGGTGAGGGTAAGATGCTGGTATTGGATCTGACATATTGAGACACACCATATCAGCTGTCCTTGATAAATATTAACACTTAGGGGTATAAATAGTACTAAACAAATCCAATGTGAATCCAGAGGTGGCTCAGAGGAAAGGCAAGACGGACGTTTAATCAGAATGCTAAGGCACCTTTAGTATCGGAACTCTTCGCTGGCTGCTGAAGATGGGGACGGAGCGCTTATGGGAATGCCCAGAGTCCTGTGATGTCGTTTCTTGAATCAAATCAAATCAATCCAGAGGTGAGGGTAAGGTGCTAACATTGGATACGGTTCATTGAGACACACCATATTAGCTGTCCTTGAAAAATATTAACACATAGGGGGATGAATAGAACTAAACAAATCCAATGTGAATCCAGAGGTGAAGGTAAGATGCTGGTATTGTATATGACACACACATTGAGACACACCATATCAGCTGTCTTGAAAAATATTATCACATAGGGGGATGAATAGAACTAAACAAATCCAATGTAAATCCAGAGGTGAAGGAAAGATGCTGATATTGTATATGACACACACATTGAGACACATCATGCCAACTGTCCTTTTAATAGCAAATTAACTCAGAAGAAAGAGACACATCGGCGTCTGGGTCGCCCATTGGCTCACCGGTAGACGACTTTGTCACCGGTCAGGAAAGTACTTGGGTCTGTCTCCTTTGATCATATATTCACTGCAGGAGTCCTTTTTAGGACTGTTGGTGTTGTGCAGTGCTAAACCTTTTGTATGGCACACATAACCTAGTCACAATTATAACCTTCAGCTCCCCCTTCAAGGAGGCTAGTTGAATGTCACGATTTATTTCCCCTAGCAAAGCACCAGAAGAAGGAGAAATTCCTTGTCTTTACATTACCAGTTATGACTGTTACATATTTCATTGTTATTGTAATATTTTTGCAGCCCCTGCACATCTGCTATCCACGAGCAATAAACTACACAGAAGATCTGCCTACAAGGTAATGTCCTCTTTCCTGTTTGTCCCCTTTCTTCTACTGATTCTCAGTCAGTCATACACAGTCCAATAATTAAATAGTGAGACTGATTTCATTATGGCCAAGACACCCTGTTTGGGTTTGAGGGCTACATTTTGCATGTGAAAGGAACCCCCCCCCCCTCCCACAATTCTCTTTTGGGAAACAGTAAAAAGACCCACTATTTCCCCTTTCCATAGAACAATGAATAGACCCACTTTTCCCCTGTTACATTTTAACCCTTTTAGCACAGGAAGTTTTTCGGATGTCTAGCCAAAAACACCGAGCATTTTTTCAGTAAATTTGGTTATTACTTTATAATATTTGTTTGACACATTTCTGTTATCCTGGCGCCCATGAAATAATAGATTTATTTGAAGGATATAGATTGAAGTTCATGATTTTCACAATATCGTTAAAATAAATTGATGTATATGCAAATTATCTCATTTGCATATCTAAAAATAGAAAATTAGAATATGAATTTTCAGCTTTAATGCATGAAATACATAACTAAAAACAAAACTATTTTTTATTTGAAATCTTTTTATTGATCTTTGTCCTTTTTTTTTTATGTTTTTCAAAACAATAGTGATGAATACCCTTTCCACAAGAGGAACAGGGTAGGTTTTCTGTTCAGCCCCATGTTCAAAATAATTGCAATAATTGCCTTTATTTCGGAGATCGTGGTTGGTTTCCAGTTCTGAACAGTAGATCTACGCTTCAGGATATTCACACTTTTTGCAATAAACTGAGATGTATATCTGTTGGTTTCTGTTACAAATGTTGTTAGTAATTCAATAGTCAAAAACAGGTATATATATATATATATGTGAAACAGCAATAACATCTTTAGGTGGCATGTGTTTTGGACCAGTCAGCTCAAAAAATGGATGTGCCGGAGTGTCAACATCTTCAGGTGGATATACCCTGAGCCATAGTTGGGCTGTGGTCTGATCAGCGTCCCCATCTGATTCCCCACTATTATTACTAACACTAGATCCTGCATCAGTATCAATAGAATTAGTGTCATCACTTGATTCAAATGTTTCATCAAAATCAAGTTCAGGGGCAGAAACATACGAGTCAGACATACTTTTAGCGGTTCGGGTCACTATCTAAAAAATTCAATAACAATTTTTACTTCGATACCAAACACTAGAAAGTCGCCATGTCGCTAATACAGCAGTGAATATAAAATAACCACTTTCAGTGTTTCAAAATAGGAGATTTCTAACGGTGTCGAGGCGAAACACGATCAGGCTGATGATCGGCCTTTTCGTGTTTTGGGCCAGACTACCGGCGGCCGATAATCGGCCCATCCGTGCTAAGAGGGTTAAAGAGCAATGAAAAGATCAACTTTCCTTCTGGTACATTTTGGAGAACAATTAATAGACCCACTTTTCCCCCTTCAGTTTTGGAGAACACTGAATAGACCCATTTCCCCCATTCCATTTTGGAGACCAATAATAGACCCACTTTTCTCCCAACATGCATGTTGATAGGAGGTGACTAGTTTGGGGTGTTTCCTTCACAGTCTGAGTGCAGCATCCGCCTGAGTGGCGAGTTAGATCTGTAAAATGGCTGTGCATGTGAAACTCAAGATCTGGAACAGGATCAAAGTCGCCCCCCCCCCCCCCCCCCCCCCACAATGGAACCCGGAACACACACACATACACACACTGGGGCTGATTGTGATGATAATGAGTTGATTAATGTGATAATGATGACATGGATGCTGATGAAAAAACATGCAGTCATTATTGAGACTTTTTTGTTGTTCTGACATTTAGTTTATCAGGTCGTTTTATATTCTTCTTTAGCGGCAGTCACAGACCGCTGTGGCCAAAATATGGAGAATATCTGTATTTGCCTCCGCAGAGATGGATCCACAGCTTGGAGGTAAGGGTGTGTCATATTTCTTTTAAAAAAAAAAACAACCTTTCACACAGTGAAGCCAAAAACTGACACTTCTGGTTGAGTCCAGTTCGCCCTAAATGTCACATATTATTCCAGGAATTCAAACAGGGTCATGACCTGGGTGGGGCAAAAGGGTTAATAAATACAAATTTAAAAAAACTTCCACCAGGACCCAAGGATTAGATTGGTGGATGTTGAATTGAGAATCAACATCACAGCACTCAGTCCCCATCTTCGGCAGCAAGCGAAGAGTTCCAGTTCCGATGGCACCAGTAACCGTCTGATTACACATCCTTCCCCTGAGTGTTGGGCGTCGGCCAGATCCCCTGGTAACTCCTCGCAGCGCCTTTCTGCTCAGACAGTAGTGATCTGTCTGTGCCTCCGCACTGTTGACATGAGATCCAAGTAGGAGCAAATCCCAGAAGATTTGTTCAGCCGTCTGACACTGTTATATTTGTGGTGCTCGACGGTTGCGAAAGAACTTGTGGTCCGGCATGAGTGGGTTGAAAGGTTGTTTGTATGTTTCTTCTTTTTGGCCATCACTGAATGTTAACTAAGAAAGTTCTGGTTGTTATTTAATCTGGTTTCAGAAAATTATTTTTGTGTGCAAACCTGTTTTACATATCAGGCCTTTTTTGTATACAGACTGTTGGTTTCTAAACTCTCAAGCAGATGCAGTCCAAACCTCATTAGTCACCTATTACTCTCTGTATGGATCCCGGGGTCCCATTTGGAGGCGGCCCCAGGGGAGGGGGTGTATAGACCCACTTCCCCTGACAAGCATGTCATAAAAGGTGACTAGTTAAGTTTTTTTCCTTCAGAATTGGAGTGCATCTGCCCAAGAGGCGAGAGACCAAGTCTTCATGTTCGTAAGCCAAATCTGTAAATTGGAAGTGCACATAAAACTCAAGTTCTGGTACAAGACTAAAGTTCCAAAGTTCTCCTGTATTATTTTTCCTACTGTAAGGGCATACAACTCTCATTAAGGTTATCAGTAAGTTCTCTTGTATTATCTCTCCTCAGTAAAGGAATAAAGTTACACAAATCTCATTAACATTATCAGTAAATTCTCTTGTTTTATCTCTCCTAAATAAGGATACATAACTCTCATCAACATTATCAGTAAATTCTCTTGTTTTATCTCTCCTAAATAAGGATACATAACTCTCATTAAAATTATCAGTAAATTCTTTTGTTTTATCTCTCCTAAAAAAGGATACATAACTCTCATCAACATTATCAGTAAATTCTCTTATTTTGTCTCTCATAAATGATACACAACTCTCATTAACCTTATCAATAAGTTCTCTTGTATTATCTCCCCTTAAGTAAGGGCACACAACTCCTATTGTTATCAATATATTCTGTAGTACTTGCTTCCGCTTACAGCATGGAGCGGTGGTGTTCCTGTACCATCCGTGTGCGGAGCCCAGCGAGATTGAAAAGTTCAAGGCTGTGGCACGAGATTGTCTGCACCGATACATCCTTTCTCCATACAAAAAGTTGCCACCGGATATGAACTTTGCCCTGCTGGTCTGGCAGTGCAGGCTCGTCATGAGCAACGTTGATTTGCCCTTGATGGTGAATTTTATCAAGGTGAGATGGCTAATACATTCACTCATCATCATGACCTTGGCTCCCAGGTCGGCCCAGCCTTGAGTGGGTACCGGGTGCAGTCCCGGGAAGTAAAGGCGGCTGGCACGATGCTGACCACATCACCCATCGTGTCTATAAAAATATAGGTCTTGCCCTGTATGCCCTATACGCCTAAAGGCGTGGAAACGGGTCCTTTACTTTTTACTTTATCATCATCATCATCCCGCAACACTACGTGTTGTTGGGTCATCACTTTCTGTTGTCTGGTCAGCTCTCTCTACCTGTGGCGGTCAGTTGTGATGGACTTCATGGTTGCATGCCTGAGGCCTGTCCAGTCAGTCAGGTTCTGTAACCAGGTCTTTCTTGATCTGCCTCTTCTTCTCTTTCCCTCTACTGCCCCCTGCAGTCTTGTTTTTGAGAGGCTGTTAGATCTTATTACATGTCCATACCATTGCATTTTTTGCCTTTTCACTGTAGTTAAAAGAGGTTCATAGTTGCCAATGTTAAGTATAATTTTATGGCGAACCTCTTGGTTTGTAATGTGGTCTCTGTATGATATCATCATCATCATGTGCCCTGCCAACTGGCGTAGTCGCTCATGCGTCTCCACAGAACACTGTCCCTGGTTGCCTGGAACAGCTCTCTTGATGATATCCCTCCATACCATCGTTTCAGCCCATCCAGCATAATCTCTCTGGTCTGCCTCTAACCCTTTTTCCACTGATCTTTTCAGTTGTCACAATGTTCTCCAATGTCTCTCTTCTCACTATGTGGCCTAAAAACAGTGTGTGACTCTTTCTTTGTTGTATATAGGGATCTACTTTCATAAGCTTCTTTTAAGCAATCGTCGTTAGTTACTCTGGCCATCCAAGGTATTTGTAACATTTGTCTCTGAAACCACATCTATGTTGCTTCCAAATTCTTCTTAATTTCTGTATGATATGCCAAGAATTTTTCTGAAACATCACATTTCTAATGCTTGTATCTTTCTTTCAAACATTCACTCATTATTTTCCTAGAGGAGTTTCCTGAGCCCAGTATTCAACACTAAAGATTTGTTGAAAGAAAACCAGATTTAGTTTGAAAATGTGATGATTTATGTCGCAATGTAAAGTCAGGAAAGTAAGTTCTGTAATAGAGTGAATGAATGAAAAAATATATTTCTAAAAGGCACAAATTGGGCACGCAGGCCTGTACTAAATTCAGCCCTTTCAAACACTCATCTTTCATATGGCAGTTGTATTTTATTCAAGACCTCAAATGGACATCGGAAGGGGCAAGAAAATGGGGAAGACCAAGAGAGACCCTGCCTAAAAACATCATCAGAGAAGGTTCAATCATGGGCCTAACAAACATCCAAGACCTAAAACAGGTGGCAACAAATGGCCAGACATGGAGAGCTATGACCTCTGTCCTAAGCTCTGCCTTAGGGTCAAGAGGAAAGACTGAGACTAATTGTATTTCATACGTCAAGCATATTGTGTGGATATATACAAATTCATAGTACAAATTTAGAGTAAAAATACAAAAACATAGATGGCACATCATTATCATTATCATGTAGCAGGTCCTTTGCAGAACGTCGCTCTCATCAGGGTCTGCCTCAAAGAAACTCGGTCTCTCGCCAGTTCTCCCGCCTCATGTACTTTCATACTCAAGGAATCACTTATATCCTGTGCCCATCTTCGTGTTGGTCGGCCAAATGGCAGATGCATATGCACAAGCATACATTTAAATTCATATGCAAAAATACACATTGCTGACATACGTGAGACAGACAAACAAATAAGGCAGGCTTACAGACACACGCACATATACACAAACACACTTACCCTTAAGAGACTTAACAACACACTGACATACGCACTGAAACAACATACACAGGCTACACACACTCACAGAGACTGACCTAGGGTGTGAAGTGTTAGATATTTGCATATTCCAGACCACTGGGTGGTGAATTGATACATGACAAGGCAGATGTGGTCAAGAACAAGCAATGGAATCAGTAGAGATAGAAGATTATTATGGCCTGGAGAGAATGAGACGTCTGGGTTGTAACCAGAGGGTCTGGCCGGCTCACTACACTCAGAGAAAAGGCAAGACGGACATATAACCAAATTGTGACCGGTACCATCAGTATTGGAACTCTGCACTGGCTGCTGAAGATGAGGATGAAGCATGCATGGGAAAGCCTCGAGTGCTGTGATGTCAATTTTTGACTCAACTCAGCTCATATTCCAGACCAGAACCTAACCCAGTGTGTCGACCACCCTTTGAACATAAGAGAAAAAAAGAAGTATCCCAATGTTTTAATTTTCCAGTTCACTAAAGAATACAGAGGGCACCACTTCTTCTTCGCTTCTTTAGTTAACCGGCTGTAATCTCTGATGGATTGTTGTGGCTGCTCGTCCACTCCTCCTCTTGTTCATATCAACCCGAGTTTTGAGCACACATCCATTTTACAGATCTAGTTTATTTGTATGTAGACTGTTGGTTTCTCATCTCTCAGGCAGATGCATTCTGATTTCGAAGGAAAAATCCATAATTACTTGACTCTTATGACATGCTTGTCAGGGGACAGGTGGTCTGTTCTCTTTTCCTCCTAAAATGGGGTCCAGGTAGTTGAGGACACAGAATTGTTACACCCATGGATCAGGATTTTTTACTTTTTTTCATTGTTTCACTGTTTCCATTGATCCCCATGTTTCTCTGTTTCCACTTATCCCCATGTTTCACTGTTTCCATTGATCACCATGTTTCACTGTTTCCATTGATCACCATGTTTCACTGTTTCCATTGATCCCCATGTTTCACTGTTTCCATTGATCCCCATGTTTCACTGTTTCCATTGATCCCCATGTTTCACTGTTTCCATTGATCACCATGTTTCACTGTTTCCATTGATCACCATGTTTCACTGTTTCCACTTATCCCCATGTTTCACTGTTTCCATTGATCACCATGTTTCACTGTTTCCATTGATCACCATGTTTCACTGTTTCCACCGACCCCATGCTTCCTTTGATTGCCATGTTTTAGTATTTCCACTGATCACCATGTTTGACTGTTTCCACTGATCACCATGTTTCACTGTTTCCATTGATCCCCATGTTTCACTGTTTCCATTGATCCCCATGTTTCACTGTTTCCACCGACCCCATGCTTCCTTTGATTCCCATGTTTTAGTATTTCCACTGATCACCATGTTTGACTGTTTCCATTGATCCCCATTGTAATCAACTATTGTTGGCGGAATCTATCGTCGCCTGGAGATCCCCTATATCCTTCCAAATAACTTACAGGGCTCGAATTAAATAAGTCTAGGGGAATTATAACGGTCCCTGAGTTCTGGAAAATAAAGGAAGGAAAATACAGAAAGTTAAATGAATAGGGTGAATCCCCGGAAATTTCCTAAAGAAATTCAGAAAACAATCAAAGTCAACTTTGTTAATTTAACTCAAATCAACTTCAATGAACAATCTTTAGTCTACCCAAGAAGTTAAATTTGATAGGATGAAATCGATAAATGGAGTTTCTAAATAACAACTGTATTGATAAATATTGTTAGGAATTTTAACAATTTTAAATTAAGAAACAAAAGAAACAATTAATAGTTCATCATACACCACAAAGTTTCACAAATAGTCAATAACACTCAGCTTTACGATATACGGGATGTGTCCAAATGCAGCTTCTCTGGGAGGAATGTACCAAGCTCTGACTGCGACTGTTATAGTCCTCGCCTAACTGCGACATTCATCCGTGAGATCTCGGTTGTTCATTCTATACCGTCTGGTTCCCAATTCACAAGGGAACAGCTCACGATCCACAGGTAACAGTGATGGTGGTTCACAATCCACAGGTAACAGTGATGGTGGTTCACAATCCACAGGTAACAGGCATACAGGAAACGGGAATACGGGAACCTGCGGAATACATCATTCAGCCCTGTGTTGAGCATTATGTCGACACATCTGGAGCAGGTGGAGGTGTTGCGGTGTCTGTGGTGTTTGTCAGAGTTAAAGGAAAGAAAGAGCAAGGTTCATATGTTGTCTTTCTCTACAAGTAAATCAAAATTATACATCTCCACCCTATTATAATATGTTGGTTTATACCTATCTAAATTATGGCACGATCATATAAAACTTGACATAATTAAGCGGACACACATTCGCCTGCGGATTGGACAGTTATTAGTTCGAGTCCCAAAACCCAGGTCGACTTCGCCTTAACAGACACCAGGTATAGTAATGGGAAGTAAAGGCGGCAGGTGTGATGTTGACCACATCAACACCCAGGTACCACTTGGTCTATAACACATAGGCTAACCCGATATGCCCACAAAGCTGACGACTTTTACTCAAATTATATGTTGCATAATATAATAAACATAAGCAATTTAATGTATACCCGACTGATGATACCCCATGGCACAGGATGATGGTTTCTACTATAAGATCTTTACGCAAGTAGACCGAATGAATATAAGAGTGACAGAGGGAAGAAGGGTTCACTATTGAATAGTCCTAACGGGGAATATTAACTTTAAGAACGTCATAATAGGTAAGGACTAGTGAATTGTCCAACGGACAAGTATCAAGGTTGATGAAGTCCCGGAATATTTATACAATGGTAGAATATAGAATAGTAGGATCTCAATAAAATATTTTAGGATACAGCTAAGGCTTATAGGGGATCTCAGCTACTCCCTACCATTATAAATCTCACCTGAAATCGTATATGGTATTATTATTATTGTTGGTGTTAGGCCGATGGTATGGCTAGCAATCGTTCTGTGTTGTGACGAAATTAGATCTCCTAGTAACACCACAAAACGTCATAAATTATGTGCGCCTTCGTACCTTTTTTATTCTTTTAGCGTCTATGTTTAAATATATTTATTTTACGTGCGCAATTCTTTTAACTAAAACTTGCAATTAACTCTTGCCGGACTGAAATATTTCTCCCGTTTTGTCACACCCATGTTTCACTGTTTCCACTTATCCCAATGTTTCACTGTTTCCATTGATCCCCATGTTTCACTGTTTCCACTGACCCCATGCTTCCTTTGATTTCCATGTTTTAGTATTTCCACTGATGACCATGTTTTACTGTTTCCATTGATCCACAAGTTTCACTGTTTCCATTGATCCCCATGTTTTACTGTTTCCATTAATCCCCATATTTCACTGTTTCCATTAATCCCCATGCTTCACTGTTTCCATTGATCCCCATGTTTCACTGTTTCCATTAATCCCCATGTTTCACTGTTTCCACTGACCCCAGTCTCACCTTGTGTTATTCGTCTAATGACCTATGAACTCTACTGTTAATTATCTCATCATCAGACTCGAGCCCTGAATGGTCCGGAACGAGTCTCCAGGGACGGACAGTATGATGTCGGGCTACTGCGCCACGCAGGAATCGTCAGTGATGTGGAGGACTCGGAACTATGTCCTAGGGTTTGTTTTATGTCGGTCTTTGCTGTTGGTCATTTATGAACAGGAGCATTGTTCCATCTTCAGCTACAATTATTAAATCCTGTTTGTGTAAATGGTAGAGCTCTAGGACTAAGTTTCTTTTCCCTTTGAAAAAAAGGTGCCACTTCAATCACAAAGAGTCTTAAAAAAGATGCTGATACTCACCACAAAGTGCCTTCTAATAAGGTGCCAGTACTGCATACCATTGCGTACCACCTGAAAAATCCCTAGCTATGTCTATTCCAAGACAGTTATACCAGTTTTTATTCTAATCTTTACAAGACACCTTGTCTGTTTGCCTCAGATGTTTTGTCTGTTCTTATCTCTGCAAGACTGTTTGCCTAAGATGTTGTGTCTGTTCTTATCTCGTCCAGACTGTTTGCCTCAGATGTTGTGTCTGTTCTTATCTCTTCAAGGCTGTTTGCCTCAGATGTTGTGTCTGTTCTTATCTCTGCAAGACTGTTTGCCTCAGATGTTGTGTCTGTTCTTATCTCGTCCAGACTGTTTGCCTCAGATGTTGTGTCTGTTCTAATCTCTTCAAGGCTGTTTGCCTCAGATGTTGTGTCTGTTCTTATCTCGTCCAGACTGTTTGCCTCAGATGTTATGTCTGTTCTTATCTCTTCAAGGCTGTTTGCCACAGATGTTGTGTTTGTTCTTATCTCATCCAGACAGTTTGCCTCAGATGTTGTGTCTGTTCTTTTCCTTCAAGGCTTTTTGCGTCTGATGTTGTGTTTGTTCTTATCTCATCCAAACAGTTTGCCTTAGATGTTACATCTGTTCTGATCTCATCCATACAGTTTGCCTCAGATGTTGTGTCTGTTTTGTCTCATCAAGACAGTTTGCCTCAGATGTTTTGTCTGTTCTTATCTCGTCCAGACAGTTTGCCTCAGATGTTGTGTCTGTTCTTATCTCTACAAGACTGTTTGCCTCAGATGTTGTGTCTGTTCTTATCTCTTCAAGGCTGTTTGCCTCAGATGTTGTGTCTGTTCTTATCTCTGCAAGACTGTTTGCCTAAGATGTTGTGTCTGTTCTTATCTCGTCCAGACTGTTTGCCTCAGATGTGTCTGTTCTAATCTCTTCAAGGCTGTTTGCCTCAGATTTTGTGTCTGTTCTTATCTCGTCCAGACTGTTTGCCTCAGATGTTGTGTCTGTTCTTATCTCATCCAGACTGTTTGCATCAGATGTTGTGTCTGTTCTTATCTCGTCCAGACTGTTTGCCTCTGATGTTGTGTCTGTTCTTATCTCGTCCAGACAGTTTGCCTCAGATGTTGTGTCTGTTCTTATCTCGTCCAGACAGTTTGCCTCAGATGTTGTTTTTTCTGTCTCATCCAGACAGTTAGCCTCAGATGTTGTGTTTGTTCTTATTTCGACCAGACAGTTTGCCTCAGATGTTGTGTCTGTTCTTATCTCGTCCAGACTGTTTGCCTCAGATGTTGTGACTGTTCTTATCTCGTCCAGACAGTTTGCCTCAGATGTTGTCTGTTCTGTCTCATCCAGACAGTTTGCCTCAGATGTTGTGTCTGTTCTTATCTCGTCCAGAGAGTTTGCCTCAGATGTTGTCTGTTCTGTCTCATCAAGACACTTTGCCTCAGATGTTGTGTCTGTTCTACTCTCTACAAGACAAATCAGACCTTCTCAATCAACACTCACAGCCTTGCTCAGGCCTTAAAGAGTTAATAATTACCATAGTTTCTGTTTTCTTAGAGACAACCACAGTTCATCTTCTTGGAAATTACCATAATTTATGATTTATTGGAGAGGACCCCAAAAAAAATGAAATTTTATATTTTTCTGAAGATGACCCAAATTAATATTTTTGTTCAGTCCAGTAACAAATGGTTTTTCTCCACACAGATGAGAATAATGGCGGCGACAGCAGAGGTTTTCAAAAACAGGTCAGCTGCTCGCAGGAGCAAATATCAACAGTCAGACCAAATGTGGCAAAGATACAGACAACAGTATAGACAACAAATGCCGGATGTCGAAATTTAAATGACATGCTTGTTAAGGGGACAGTGGGGTCTCCCCCCCCCCCCCCCCCCCCAATCCCCCCCCAAAAAAATAAATCCGGGCCCTAAAACTCAGACGAGGATTAGGGAACTTAATGATAGTTTTTTTTCCCCGATTGATTCTTCTGAGAAAAGAAATGAGGGTTTGAGGAAGGCAAACAAATTTGACTTGTACATTGCCAAACTTGAATTTTTTTGTTTTGTTTCGTATCAGTATTGTTTAAAATCTGTTATGGGCATATAGGGCTGAAATCGTAAAAGAAATATAAGTTAGTTAAAATTAAGATAAAATGGAGACTTAGTGAGTAGAGTCCAAGAGGTGCAAGGTAAAGTTCTAGAGCAAAATCAAGAATCAAATAGTTTGATTTTGTCAATGGTTTGTTTTTCTTCTTCTAAACTGCATTCCCTGGCTGCAAACGCCAGCAAAAAGTTCTGACTGATCATCAGCTTCTGGACTTCTGTTCTTGGTCCAAAAGTTGTGTTTTGTCATGCAATTCCATTTTTATAGATTTGGCTTAATTGTAAGCAGAATGTTGGTTCATTGCCTCTCAGGCTGCAGTCCGACTTTAAAGTAAACACCCATCCCCCCCCATTAGTTGCCTGCTATGTCATGCTTGTAAGGGGGCAGTTGACCTGTTTTCCACTCCCCTCCTCCACCCCCCAAATAGGGTCCTAGAACCCGTGTGGTGAATAACATTTTCTGCCCCAGGCACTGGGGGTCACTGGGCGTTATCTGTATGTTCCAGTCAACACATTATGTATGTTATTACATCTTATATTTAGGGAGGACCTCTGAAAAACTCTTCAAAACTTATTTACTTCCAATCAGTTCTATCTATGCGTAGTGGCATTGCAGGCTTCAAAGAGGGCTTTCCTGTCCCGTGCGGTCTTTACTGTATTTTTCCATGTCAGAGATGCAGCGCTCAGTTCACTTTCCGTCGTTTGTTTCCATGATGTTTTTTGACGCTGCTTCTTTCTCTTTCTCTCTGGTATCCAATGAGAGCTGTTTTGGCAGGTATGTCAGGATTCATTCTCTTAACGTGCCAGGCCATTTCCATCTTCTCTTAGTTATCATACTGTCCAGAGTTTCTTGATTTGTGACTTGAAGTAGTTTAGTGTTTGAGATTGTATCTAGCTAGAAAATGTTGATGATTCTACCTAGACATGTGTGGTGGAAGGTGGATAGCTTGTATGATTCGCTTCTTATAAAGGTTGTATATTTGACCCCTGTGGCAGTAGTATACCCATGAGTTTAGTATTATCATTTTGGATGTGTTGGTTGAAAGGTACAAATATTGCAGATATGCTTTAAACAGGCACAGTGCAATTATGTCACTTGGACAAACACAAAGAAGGAGACTTGTTTCCCATGGCTGTGTTAACTAAACCTCTGTTCTTATACTCAAAGGAGTGAAAGCAGTTAATTCTTTACCCCATTTGTATTTAGTGATTACCTCAGAATTCAGTCCAGTTGTAATTTTTCCCTACCTGACTGACAACTTGGCACATGCCGAGCAGTTTACAGCCTCAGAATTTCTTGAGGCTTCTATTGTGTTCCTTAAATTGTTTCTTTCTTTATTTATGTTTTTTTTTTTTTTTTCAAAAATTTTTCTGTAATAATTTAGCGAAATTGGTTAAACCTGATTTTCGCGGCGGCCGGGTGACGAACTCCTTGTGGTCCGGGGGTAGGCAGAAAAGCCACATTTCTCCCAGATTAACGGTACCTATAATGGAATCAAGGCCGAAGGGTTGCGATATCCATAGTACCGAGCCAAAGGGTTTACAACTCATGGTTTCTGGATACGTTAAAAAAAAAAATCAGGAATATGTTTTTTGATTGTGGTATTTTGTTGGAAATTCCTTTAAATGTACAAGGTTTTCCTGGTTCTTTCACCTATCCATTTGAAAAAAATTTACCTTTAAAACTTTTGTGTAATAGAATTTGATATTTCACCATTTGTATATTTGGTGAAGAATTTAACAGTTCTGTTTGCTTACATTTGATTAGCGTTTGTTAAAAAAAAAACACAGGTGTATTGATTTTTCTTCTTCCTATTGGAATCTTTTTAATTCCGTGAATATATTTGATATTTCACATAAGAAAAAGAAACTTTATGTAACGATTTGTCTAAGATACTGCGCATACCCCCCCCCCCCCTTTTTCCCCTCAGTAATTCATTTTGTCTCATCATTTTGTTATTTAGACTTTATTTAGTCAACTTTGTGTGTGTGTGGTGGTGGTTGCTTTAAGATATTTATCCATAAACTGTTTTTCTTTTTAACTCAAGTTTTATTTAAATCTTGCAATTTATCAATCAAATAATTTAATCTGTATACACACATGAGAACTGAACATATTTTCAGAAGTGACATTTTGACAATCCAGTTTTAATTTTTTACAGTTGTTAAAATACAGCATTTCATTAAGTTCCGCTTTTTATCTTTTTTTTTAAAAAGCCTTTATCAAATCGTGTGTATACAATTAAATTGATCACGGATTATGGATATACACATTCGCGAAGCTATGTTTGTTAAATATATTTTTACTCCTGTCATAGCGATTTGGTTAAACACATCAATGTCTGTCTCTGGTGTCGGTCGCCTCAATCTGTTCAAGAAAATCAATTAATTTATAAATAAAATAAATTGTAATAATATACCAGTCATTTTGATTCGTGAATTGGTCCATGAATAAATTTTGATAATATATATTTTTTCATTTGCTTGTGTTTTTTTCTGTACAAACTTTTCAGTCGTGCTAATATTGCAAATGTGAGCCGCGGTTGCTGCTGTGAAGTTGTTAGGTTTGAATGTGCATCGGGTCAGATTTGTTCAAAATTGACCTCTCTTCTCCGGTAAATAAGTACTAGATATTGCCCTTGGAAGTAAAGGCGGCCAGCGTGATGCTGACTACCTCAGCTACAGAGCGCTGATTGATTTGTAACAATATGATTACAAAATGTCAGTTTATGCCCGTGGCACTACTAGCGGAGAATGAATGGACCGCAGAAATATCAGACAATGAAAAGTACTTTATACAAAGAGATCAGACAAGGGCCCTTTCCAGGGTTCTCTTCCTGCCCTAACCTCGCGAGGCATTCCAGTAGTCGAAAAAAGAGGAAGACAAGAGCTAGCATGAAAAGAATTTTACTGTTGTGTGCAAGGTCTCAAGCTGATGGACCTGCCTAACCAGGTAAAATGGAATCCAGCTGGGATGGGATCCAGTTTGTCAGGTGAGGTGGGATGGGATCTGGCTTATCAGGTTGGATGGGACTTAGCTTGCCATGTGTGATGGGATTTAGCTTGCCAGGTGATGAGGGATCCAACTTGCCAGGTGGGATGGGATTTAGTTTGCCAGGTGATGAGGGATCCAACTCACCAGGTGGGATGGGATTTAGTTTGCCAGGTGATGTGGGATAGGACTCGCTATGTGGGATGGCATTTAGCTTGCCAGGTGATGAGGGATCCGACTCGCCAGGTGGGATGGGATTTAGTTTGCCAGGTGATGTGGGATAGGACTCGCCATGTGGGATGGGATTTAGCTTGCCAGGTGATGAGGGATCCGACTCGCCAGGTGGGATGGGATTTAGTTTGCCAGGTGATGAGGGATCTGACTTGCCAGGTGGGATGGGATTTAGTTTGCCAGGTGATGTGGGATCCGACTCGCCATGAGGAATGGGATTTAGCTTGCCAGGTGATGTGGGATCCAACTCGCCAGGTGGGATGGGATTCAGCTTGCTAGGTGATGTGGGATCCGACTCGCCAGGTGGGATGGGATTTAGCTTGCCAGGTGATGTGGGATCCGACTCGCTAGGTGAGATGGGATTTAGCTTGCCAGGTAATGTGGGATCCGACTCGCCAGGTGGGATGGGATTTAGCTTGCCAGGTGATGTGGGATCCGACTCGCCAGGTGGGATGGGATTTAGCTTGCTAGGTAGGATGGGATCTGCTTTGTCCTGTTAAAGCCGTTTTCCCAGCTTTTACTGGTTTTTGATGACATGAAATCTTTACACATTGCCCACTACGCATATTAAAATAGCTTTGGTGATGGTTCCAGCTGTAACAGGGACTGGGTCGCTCTCCAGTAGACGAATTTGTCGGCGGTCGGGACACTAGTTGGGTCTGTCTCCTTTCATCACATTGACTGCAGGAGTCCCTTTCATGGTGTACATAACCTAAACACACTTATAACCTAAAGCTCCCCCTTCAATGCATGTTCAGTCACCAAAATTTTAAATCTAGGATATACATTCAATGCTCCACAATGAACAGTCGGTAATCACTCTATGCATGACCACTACACTTTATTATTTCCCACCTATAAATATTTGGTTTTTTACTGCTTTATCAAATATGACCACAACACTGTCTGTTTTATCATACATGACCACAGCACTTTCTGCTTTATTATACATGACCACAACACTGTCTGTTTTATCATACATGACCACAGCACTTTCTGCTTTATCACACATGACCACATAACTTTCTGCTTTATCACACATGACCACAACACTTTCGGCTTTATCACACATGATCACAACACTTTCGGCTTTATCACACATGACCACAACACTTTCGGCTTTATCACACATGACCACAGCACTTTCTGCTTTATAACACATGACAACACTTTCTGCTTTATCCCACGTGACCACAACACTTTCTGTTTTATAATCATGACCACAACACTTTCTGCTTTATCTTACATGACCACATAACTTTCTGCTTTATCATACATGACCACATAACTTTCTGCTTTATCACACATGACCACATAACTTTCTGCTTTATCACACATGACCACAGTACTTTCTGCTTTATCATACATGACCACAGCACTTTTTGCTTTATCATACATGACCACAGCACTTTTTGCTTTATCATACATGACCACAACACTTTCTGCTTTATCATACATGACCACAACACTTTCTGCTTTATCATACATGACCACATAACTTTCTGCTTTATCATACATGA